TTTCACTCGTGACGTTACTGACATGTTTCCATAAAACTATAGCTAATTCTCTTTTACAATTACAGATATGTAACTTAGAAAATTAGAAGGCTGACATTAGAAGAAAATTAATGTTACTGGGAGAATGTAGAAACTACAATAACTTGGGTTTTACTCGGAGCAATAAATGATTAGGGTGATAGTAGCTAAATTTCCTCCAGTTTCACTAAAAACTGCTTTCTCTAAACACACACAACTTAGTCAAGACTGTTCCTTGCTGCCGAATGACAGATTACTCAGGCTGGCAACCAAGAGTTTTGGGAAACAAGAGGCAAAGACAATGAAATTCAGAGACAAAAATCTGGTTTATAAAATAAAACTTAAAAAAAAACAAGAACTAAATTACCTATAATCAGAAGTAATTACCAAAATAGCAAGTAGCTGGAAGAGCAAAAAAGAAACTAAGATATTAACCGTATTTCTACTTATTTAAATCTACTTAAATGTTCTGTAATCACAGCCTTGTTAGTTAGTGGTGTTTAACTGAGTCAGTAAAAACTATTAAAGGTCAATAGATTAATACAAATGGTAATTTTTCCTTTGCACTTCAAGCTGAATCTTCTCCAATTCATCCCTTTTAAAATGCACTACAGCCAAGAAAGAACTATCTACTGAGACTTCAGCTGTCATTAAGCTCTTGCCCTCTTTGAAAAGAATACCAGCTCCCTTTAATACCTATAAGAAGCCACCACAGTTACTATTTTCTAGAAGAGAGTAGACTGTTTTCAATATGTAATCATTGAATTCAGGGCAATGATGTACCTTAGAAGATTTTGTACAACATTTCTCTTTTTTTTTAGAGGGTAGAATAATAGTCCTGATGCCTAGAGGAATACTACTTTCCTACAGAAATGAAACTGTAAACCCTATAACAAATGAATGTGAGCAGGTGCTACTCTCAGATCGTCCTATGATCCTGGCAATCACGTGAGAGGTAGAAGATGGGGGAGGTCAAGAAGTCCAAGCCCCTCATGGTGACAGTGGCAGGGTGTGGAGGAGGTCTTTAAACATTACATTTCTCCCAGGTTAGTACTTTCCTTGATGACCTCGCTAAATGGTGCTTTTCCACAAAGGAAGCTTCTTCAACTAGGACAGGGGTCTGAAGTACCATGCAGGTTACAAACTGTTCTGTGCCATTTTATCTAAGATGTAGCAGATTAAAGTTTTAGCTAAGAGGCTCATTTCTGGAAGAACTTGGAAATCCTCTGGTTCCAGGTGCATTCTCTCAGGGAGGGGATGAACATTCTAGAAGAGCAGACCCACATGCAGTGGGTTCTGTGAGCCAAACCTGGCAGGCAGCAAGGTGGGGCTGCTAGCGGGAGGCAGGGAGACAATGCTAAAGCCAGTTTATTTCATCAGACAGTGACATTTCCAACTGCAATTTGAGTTTTGACCCAAGTTGTAAAAGGAGAGAATTTATCCCTGGAAAGAGGGTCAGATGGGTTAATCACTAACATTTCTTCCAACCCTGAGACACAAGAATCCTTGACTCATTCACTCAATAAACATTTGTGAGCCTGTGTACCAGCACACAAAGTAACTCTCAATAAATACCCTTTTTTACACTATAGCCACCGTATTTGTGAAGATTACAATAGAGCAGCAATTTTTGCTGTAGCACAGAGGGCAAAAAGTACAGCCAAGCCTGTAACTTACATAATGGAGCTTGAACTTGCACTCATCTTCAATTTCATCTGCGCTGTCTTCATCAGAAACCTCCCCTTCCTCTGCATCATCTCCAAGGTGATAAGGCAGCTTCTTGCCCTCAAATGACACAAAATGTTCCATTTAAAAATGAAAGTTCAGCAAGAGAGAGGTAGGGGATTAAGAGGTACAAACTACCATGTATAAAATAAATAAGCCACAGGAATACATTGCATAACACATGGAAATACAGCCATTATTTTATAATAACTTTAAATAGAGTATAATCCATAAAAATACTGAATCATTATGCACTTGAAACTAACATAATATTGTAAATCAACTATACTTCAGTTAAAAAAAAGAAAAAATTAAAATTCACAACAGCCAAAAGGTAGAAATATCCCAGTGTCTACCAACAGATGAATGGGTAAGCAAAATGTGGCATACGCATACAATGAAACATTATTTAGCTTTGAAAAGTAAGGAATTTCTGACGTGCTACAACATGGATGAACAGGCTAAATGAAATAAGACAGTCACAAAAGGACAAGTGTTGTATGATTCCACTTATATAAGGTACCCGGAGTAGCTAAATTGATAGAGACAAGAAGTAAAACAGTGGTTTCCAGGAGGGGATTGGCAGCAAAGATGGGGGGGATTGTTTAATGAGTATGGAGTTTAATGAGTAAGGGGTTGTGCAAGATGAAAAGAATTCTGTACACGGCAACGTGAATGTACTTATTACCAAACTGTACACTTAAAAATGGTTAAAATGGTAAGTTTTATGTTGTGTATATTTTACCACAATTAAAAATAATGTTTAAGAACATAGATATGTGTAACTGAATCACTATGCTGTACACCAGAAACAAACACATTGTAAATCAACTCTCCTTCAATTAAAAATAATTTTTAAAACTTGAAAAATGAAAATAAAATGTATTATCCCTTTGTCAGTCATTACTTCAGACTGACTATAAGGCAGATAGCTTGAATTAGAGGCAAAACAAGGGGGAAAGAGTCTTTCAAGAGAAGTCAGTTTTATTACTTCCAATTACATACAATTAATTTTTACTGTAGCACATGGTGGGTAAAAAACTATGGCTAAGCCTGTAACTTACATAATGGAGCTCGAACTTGCATCTTGTTTATAAATAAAAATCAGACCAGTCTTCTGTTCGAACATTTATGACTCATCTTAATAGGCATAGCCCCACCCCATGTCCTTAGAGCAGCTTCTCCTCCCAAGCAGGTTGAACGCATCCTTCCCCGGTGCTGGCTGTGCCCTCTGCACTGCCCAGGCCCGCCTTCAGGGACGATGCAATGAGACCACTGCCTGGCTGGAGCAGGGCCCTCGTAACCACTCACCAGCATCCACTAGCAATCAGAGGCTTTTAGACAACACGGGGGAATTCTTACAACAAAATGGTAGAAAATCCAACATACAGAATTATATACAAATATTAAAGCATGATCTCAATAATGCATAAAAACTCAGAGATCCGGAGGGAACGCTAATGTGAAAAGATACATGCACCCCAACGTTCACAGCAGCACTATATACAATAGCCAAGACATGGAAGCAACCTAAATGTCCATTGACATATGACTGGATAAAGAAGATGTGGTAAATATAAATACAATGGAATACTACTCAGCCATAAAAAGAATAAAATAATGCCATTTGCAGCAACATGGATGGACCTGAAGACTATCATTCTAAGTGAAGTAAGCCAGAAAGAGAAAGGAAAATACCATATTATATTACACATATGTGGAATCTAAAACAAACAAACAAACACTATGAACTCATCTACAAAACAGAAACAGATTCATAGACTTAGTAAACAATCTTATGGTTACCAGGGAAAGAAGGGTGAGAAGAGATAAATGTGGGAGTTTGAGATTTACAAATGTTAGCCACTATATATAAAAATAGATTTTAAAAACAGTTTCTTTTGTATAGCACAGGGTACTGTGTTCAATATCTTGTAATAATCTTTAATGGAAAAAAAATATGAAAATAAATATTTGTATGTATATGCATAACTGGGACATTGTGGTGTATACCAGAAATTGACACATTGTAATTGACTGTACTTCAATTGAAAAAAAAAAGTTACAGAGAACAACAACGAAAAAAAAACTCACGGAAAAACTCCATCAAGAGACACGATCAATTATTAAGAGTAAGAACCTCTGGGTAACAGTATTACAGGTAATGGTTATTTTCTCCTTTTCTACATTTCCCAATTTATATTCAGAAAAAGTACAAGTAAATAAAAAGCAGAAGCGGAAGGGATGGCCCAAGGGCCTGATAAGGGTTTCTAGGGCAGCTAACCATCTGTATCAGTAGAGCATCTTACCGGCAAGCAGAAATTGAATTGCTCCCAGAATCTTTAGTGGGCGGGAGCTGGGGTGCAGAATCCAGCTCTGAGGCTGATGGCCAAGGTCACCATGGTAGGCAGCCTTTAGGAACCCCAATGGTTCCTGCCTCTTGGTTTTCATGCCCTTCTATGACCGCATCACCCTGAGTGTGGACTGGACCTCGTGACCCCCCTTCCAGTGAGAGGAATACAGCAAAACAAAATGTCTAGCATTTTTAGCTTCTCAAAACATAAAGATGGGGAAAATTCCTTAAACATGGAAGAACGGTCACATGCTTGGAAGTCTAAAATAATGACAAATTTCTAACCATCACCTCAGACTACTTCCCAGGCTGACCCTCTCTCAGCTCCAGCTCCAGTGACTTCCAGTCCTCCTGCTCTCCACTCCACGAGTGGCCCCCTCTTTCACACTCTAAATCTGTCCCCCACCTGCTTCTCTCCCTCCATAGGACCACCAGCACAGTCGGGCTGTCAGAGAAATCTCCCCCCTAGTTTTCCTGCACCTTGTGTAATACCCAAAGCTCTTGACCCTGGATGCTTGGCTTAGAGATAGTTTCAAAGCTGATTGAATCACTTGTGTAATGGGAGAAAAAACAAAACAAAACTCGATTAAGGATACTAACTACCATACATAAAATAAACAACAAAGTCTTACTGCATAGCACAGGGAACTAAACTCAATGCCTCGTAATGGTCTATAATGAAAAAGAATATGAAAAGGAATACATGTATATGTGTACATGAATCACTATGCTGTATACCAGTAATTAACACAACATTGTAAATCAGCTATACTGCAATTAAAAAAAAAAAAGGAATCCAAACTCTTGATTTTAAACCTCTTGGGAGTTTGGATACTTAAACATTTTCTTCAACCTAGAAAAGGGGGGATGGAGGGACAAACTGGGAGCTCAGGATTTGCAGATACTATTATATATAAAACAGATAAACAACAAGGTCCTACTGTACAGCACAGGGAACTATATTCAATATCTTGTAATAACCTATAATGAAAACTAATATGAAAAAGAATACATATATATATAACTGAATCACTGAGCTGTACACCAGAAACTAACAAACACTGTAAACCAACTATACTTCAATTTTTAAAAAATAAGATTACCAAATAAGGAATAGCAACCCTTGAGTGATGCACTTGGTTCTGACACCACAGGAAGGAAAGGAAAGTTTAACCATCATGAACATTTAGTGACGGGCTGGCCTGGCAGCGGCACTGAGCTCCAATCCCCTTCACTTAAGTGTGGCAGCAGGTGAGGGAATAAAGAGAAAGCTGCCATCCCAGAGTATTCACAAGGTGCCCTCATTTTCAGTCTTTTCAAAATCTAATTAAAAGACATTAGGGCCATATTTTCTGCCAAATTTTTCCATATTGCGTGTCCATTTTTTTTTTCTTTTCCCCTTAATCAGGAGGAATTGACCCTGGTGTGTTTTGGCAAGTAATGGTAGCTTTGGTCTCTGCCCAAACATGCTTTTTTAAAAAAATTTTATTTATATTTCATTTTAAAAATTTTGTTGGGGGAGTAATTGGGTTTATTTATTTGTTTCTTAATGGAGATACTGGGGATTGACTCAAGGACCTCATGCACGCTAGGCATGCACTCTACCACTGAGCTGTACCCTCCCCTCTGCTGGTCCTTGAAAGACACTGTATCCAGGCAGAGAGGAAAAGAAAGCAACACTGTTTTTTAATGCCTGTTGTTAATAGTGTTACTCCTAAATTATAAACTTAGGTAGAATTTTATGAACTTCACAGTGGTTTAGTATAAATAAAGAATGACCTAGTTGTCCCCTTCTGATCTACATACTATTATATGCAGGAGTTACGCTCAAGAATGAGATTAAGTCCTCCATGGTGTATGGAAACATAGCAAGAGACAGGAACCATAGCTACCCCTTAGCTTCTAGCTGCCTAAGCCCAGGAGAATGGTAACAACTCTGTTGACACTTCTGGCACATCTGTAAAAGTAAAAGCCTTGGACCAGATAAGGCTTCTTTCAGCAACAAGTCAACAGAAAATTGCTGTTTGTTATTATTTTTGTTCAAAAGCAAATTTTTGTTTACTTTTCAGGATACACACACACACACACACACACACACACACACACACACACAGAGTCAGCCCTCTGTATCCAAAGGTTACTTGAATCCTCAGATGTGAAGGGCTTACTGTACTAGGCCATTTCATACGAGGGACTTCAGCATCGCAGATTTGGAACCAATCCCCTGAGGATACCAAGGAACTACTGTATATATTTGTGTGTGTGTGTGTACGTGTGTGTACACACAGTTGGAAAGTACGTGTGTTATAATAACTAACTTGCTAGTCTCAAAGTGGTAAGTAGTTGTTCAAATGTTGCCTTTTGGACCAGAGATCGCACTGATGCTAAAGAAACTAAGAAAATCAGTTCCCTTGTTGTTGCTTCCAATGGGAATGTGCTGGTACACAAATCTAGGAAATTTCCTTTACAGGAAAATTCAAGGATTTAAAGAAAAAATAGCCTTTCCAAAGGCTACTACTAGCAAGCAGACCTCATCTTCTTTGAAATACCTGCAGCCCGCACCACTGCCTCTCCTTACAAGCGCCTCAGATCTTCCGGCTCCAGTTCAACCTGGTGCCCAGTAGCCCTGGGACATTCTATGCCAAAGCGACTCAAAGTTCAGATATGCACAAGAGATTTAATGAGTTCATATCAAATATTCCTTAAGTCCCACTGTCCAAAGGGAAAGGATTTCAATCAAATGGACTCATTCAGAGTTTAAACTTCTGACTGCTTGGCACATGACCATTTAGGGAACATGGAAAGATTTACAAGGCCATAAAGGTGACACTCAGCTTTCTAACCCAGAAATCAGTTTTCACTACTACATGACTTTGCTTTAGCAAGACTTCAGGAAAATTCACCTTAAATGTTATCTCTTGCATTATATAATTGAAACCTTTATTCAAAATGCTTTTGCACATACAAATGCCCAGTGTCACTTTGATGGATTTAACCTATAATTCTCATTTAATCGATAGAAAAACAGGTTTTGACCAATTCCAAAGATGATTATCTCTTTCCCATTTGCTGTCCTCAAAGCCCCAGTTAAAGTCTTGCTATGTGAAATTACACTGTTTGACTTTCCTATGCCTCCCCTGTGATATCTGGTTTCTGTGCACAACCATTTTAAGGAAAATATAACCCTGCTTGAATATTAATCCTCTACTCCTCTTTCTTAGGTTTTTAGTCTCAAAGCAATACAAGTATCCAAGATGGTTTTAGTCCAAACACACAAAAGTAACTGGAATTAAGTAAAATCACGTCAGCAATCCGAAAACTCAAGGAGCTGTCTTTCTAGCTCTTCCTTGTATTACCAATATTCATTTCAGGTAGTAAGCTTTCTTCCTCAGAAGATCCGTTTATGAAATGTCATTCTATTCACTTACTGCTCCCCCACATGCAGACAAATCCTGTGGGGCACTATGTCTGAGCCTGGGCTCCTCTTTGAAGTGAGTTATTCTCACTTACATAACCAAGGCTGATCAACCATGAAGCCTTTTTTTGACAGACAGTTATTGGAGCTTGAAATGGGAGAGAAGAATCTGAAAGAAACACTTTCGGATATGGACACGAGGAGCCTCTCTTCCCATGTGGCCTGTGCCTCCCGTACACATGCTTCTCTCCAGCGTGAACGGCTACAGACTGAAATATTCAACACCTGGCTTATAGTATTGATGTTCTCGCTTCATAAAAATAATCCCAGAATACAAGGTCAGTCTGTAAGGAGCCTGTTCTGGAGGGATGACTATAACTAAATTGGAACCAGGTACACACACCCATGTAGACAACCCTTCACCTAGAGACTCTCATTCTCTTGATAAACCAGTTTTTAGTCCTTAAGGGAGAGGGGGGCTTAGTTGGCCATCAATGCCTTTTATTACATTCCTAAGGTAATAATTACCTTCACTAGGATTTTGCCTTTCAGACTTTGAGGGCTCGGAAGCTGCTTGGTCTCTCCGGTGTCCACAGAGGACAAGTCGAGTTTGTCCCGGAATATTCCTTTCAGGTACTGAGCAATCTTCCTTTGCTGCTGGATGCTGCAGTGATTCTCAATAGACAGAATGACCGGGAACCTGAGAGAACAGCAACACATGATGAAGACATCAAGGACAGGCAATTCACGGGGCTTTTGAAAGTCATTCTGTGTTCATTATGTTCTTACAATCCTAGTGGCAGTGGTTGTGAGACGGGTGGGAATTAAAATTATTCCTTTTTAGATTCTGACTATTTATTGGCTGAATGAATAAATACATGAAACATTTTATCATTTG